TATTTTATCCATAGAATCCTTCAATAACTAGAGACTTAAATTTTTTTTCAATTCTTTTAGCTTGAGAAATACTTCCCTTTTTTCCAATTCTAGGTCTTTGCACATTTCATTGTAATACTTTCCTTGTCTTCTTGAGCTGCCGTTTGAAATCTTCTGTTCAGCCCTTTTATTTCACCATTTCTTCCATTTACTTTAGCTACTGTCTATTATTGAAGAGGAAGTTTCAGAGTCCCTTCTGATGTCCATTTTGGTCTTTTCTTTCTTTCCTGTCTTTTTAATGACCTTTTGCTTTCTTCCTGTATGATGTTCATGATATCATCCCACAACTTGTTTGGTCTTGGTCATTGGTGTTTAATGAGTCAAATCTGCTCTTCAGATGGTGTCTAGGAGAGAACAATCATGGGAGAAGGAAGGGCTGCTTATGCACAGGGTGACAGCTCAGGGGGCAGGAGAGTATGGAGGGATGGACACTGGGAAGAGGTAATTATGGAGAGGAAGTGGGAGGGGAGCTGTTGCATTGTGGTAAACTGTGGTCAATGACATGAGACAAAGTATATGTGAACTGCTGTATGGAAAGTGAATTTGCTCTGTAAATCTTCACCCAAATCAAAATAATAATAATAAAAAAAGATAAAACAGATGGTGTCTAAATTCAGGTGGATTATAATCAAGGTCGTCGTATATTGGCTCTTGTAGACTTGTATTAGTTTTCTTTGGCTTCAACTAAGACTTGCATATGAAAAATTGATGGTCTGTTCCACAGTCAGCTCCTGGCCTTATTCTGACTACTGAACATCTCCATCACCTCTGTCCACAAATGTAGTTGATTTTATTCCTATGTATTCCATCTGGCAAGGTCCATGTGTAAAGTCACTGTTTATGTTGTTGAAGAAAGTATTTGTGATGAGAGAGTCTTTGGTCTTGCAAAATTCCATCATGCAGTCTCCGGCATCATTTTGTTCACCAAGGCCATATTTTTCAACTGCTGATGCTTCTTCTTTGTTTCCAACTTTGGCATTCTACTCAACAGTAATACATTTGATTGCACATTTGGTCAAATTTGGACTGCAGAAGTTCTTAAAAATCTTAAATTTCTTCATCTTTGGCCTTAGTGGTTGGTGGACAGATTTGAATAATAGTAGTATTAACTGGTCTTTGTAGGTGTACGGATATTATTCTATCACTGACAGCATTGTACTTCAAGATAGATCTTGAAATGTTCTTTTTTGATGATGAATGTAATGCCATTTCTCTTCAATTTGTCATTTCTGGCATAGTAGACTGTGATAGTTGGAGCTGTGTGTCAACTTGGCTGGACCACAATTCTGTGTGTTTAAGCAATTGTGATATGGGTTGTTCCAATGATGGAATCAGATGTATATGTTTTGAGCAGCTAATCCATTGAAAGGGAGTTTCCCTAGGGGTGTGGCCTGCTTCCAGTATATTTATGGACATCCTGGGAAAAGAGACACTCTTCTGTGGATCAGGATTCTGTTGTGCTGTCTACAACTGTTCGTGAGCGAACAGTCCACCGTTCGGCCTAAAGATCTTGGATTCGTCATTCGTTGGAGTCAGCAGCCAGTATACTGCCTGCCAACTTTGAGCTCCTCAGCCCCTGCAGCTGCATAAATCAGGAAAAGCCTCCAGTTTGACATTTGATCCAAGAACTTTGGACTTGCCAGCTTCTATAAGTGTGTGAGCCATTTTCCTAAGATAAATTTACCTTTCTCTCTCTATATATAAGCTTTACTGGTTTTGTTTCTCTAGAGAACCCAGTCTAACACAGTAGACCATAAGATTGTCCGATTCAAATGGCCAATACCTAGTCCATTTAAGCTCACTAAAGGCTAGGATATCAATCTTTATATATTCCATTTCATTTTTGACAACTTCCAGTTTTCCTAGATTCATACTTCATACATTCCATAGTGCAATTATTGATGAATGTTTGCAGCTATTTCTTCTCATTTTGAGGAAGACTCATTACAACCTGTGATATGCAGGTGACACAACGACACAACCTTGCTTGCTGAATGCAAAGATGACTTGAAGCACTTACTGGTGATGATCAAAGACTACAACATTCAGTACAGATTATACCTCAACTTAAAACAAAAATCCTCACAACTAGAGCAATAAGCAACATTATGATATGTGGAGAAAAGATTGGAGTTTTCAGAGATTACATTTCACTTAGATCCACAATGAATGGTTATAGAGACAGCAGTCAAAATCAGACAACTGGGCATATCTGCTGCAAAAGACCTCTTAAAAGTGTTAAAGAACAAAGATGTCACTTTGAAGACTAAGCTGCGCCTAATCCAAGCTGTGGTGTTTTAAATAGCTTATATGCATGTGAAAGCTGTACAGTGAATAAGGACGACCAAAGAAGAATGGATGCATTTGAGTTGTGGTGTTAGCGTAGAATATTGAAAATACTATGGATAGCCAGATGAACACATTGGTCTTAGAAGTAGAGCCAGAATGCTCCTTAGAAGTGACAACGGACAGACTCTGTCTCAAGGACTTTGGTCATTTTGTCAGAAGGGACCAGTCCCTGGAGAACGATATCATGCTTGGGAAAGTAGAGGGTCAGTGATAAAGGGTGTGGTAGTTCAGTTTGTGTCAGCTTGGCTGGGGCCTGGTTGAGTGGCTGGGCAGCTGGATGTAGTATTCTCCATGATAGGACTAGTAATCAACTCCATGGTGGAATTTACAGTGAGCAGATAAGTAGCTGCCTTAGGGATGTGGTCTGCTTCCTGTATATAAGGAGAAGTCTTGGGGATAGTTTCTAGCTTATGGCATGCTTGAACCCTGATTGTAGCTGTGTCATTGTTCAGCAGCCTGCTTGGGACTTTCAATGGACTTAAATTAGTGACCTGCTATGTGGTTGGGAGCTCTGGTAGCATAGTGGCTAAGGCACTTGACTGCTAACCAGAAGGCTGGTGGTTCAAACCCACCAGCCACTCCTCAGAAGGAAGGTTGGGTAATCCTACTTCCGTAGTGATACTGCCTCGGAAACCCAAGGAGGGGTCACTATGAGTCAGGGTTGACGGCACATAACAACAACAACAACAATGTGGTTTGGTAACATCAGGGCTATGCCATTTTATCTGTCAACCTTGTTAGCCTCAAGACTTGTTAGCCTCAGCAGCCAGTAGCTACCTGATTGAAGAGACACCTCTAGCTTCAGTGGGCTGGGAGCAAGAGGCAGAGCTGAAGCCCAAGGTCAAGGGGCTTTCACACAGCCCCTAGAGCCTGGCACTTTGAACTTGGACTTTTAGCCTCCTGAACTGTAAGGGAATAAGCTCCTGTTTGTTAAGGCCATCCAATTTGTGGCATTTGCTTGTCAGAGCTGCACTAGGGTAACCAGAACAAAGGGGAAGACTCTCAACAAGATGGAATGACACAGCCACTACAATGATGGGCTCAAGCATAGCTAAGATTGTGAGGATCACACAGGACCAGGCATTGCTTTGTTGTGTTGTATGTAGGGTTACTATGTGTGGGAGCTGACTTGATGGCACCTAACAACAACATGTATAAACAGTATGCAGTATTATTTTATTTGTGTTTACAAGTTTGCATGAATGAATAGAAAATCACCATTAGAACGGTAAAAATGGCATGGCACACCTGACCTCCTTTAACTCCACAAGGGAGAGAAAGAATCAACCATCAACATCAGCCTAAGGCTGATTCCTATGAAGCGGAGGTCAGCCATACCTCTTCTCTCCAACCTTTTTACCAATTTTGACACTAGCCACCCCTCCCACAGCACTCTCTACTTCTCTGCTGGGTTCTATAATTCATTGCAATGGCTACATGGAACTCGCAGACAGTACTCAGGATTATGGGGTGTCTTAGGCTGAGTTCTCTAAAGAAGCAAAACCAGTGAAGCTTATATATAAAGAGAGAGAGAGAAACAGAGATTAATCTCAAGGAAGTGGCTCACACACCTGTAGAGGTTGGCAAGTCTGTGTGTGGGTCAGCCATCAGGCTGGAGGCTTCTCCTGATTCACATAGCTGCAGTGTCTGAGGAACCCAAGATCTGTAGGTCAGTGGCAGGCTGCTGACTCCTAGGCTTCAGGGGTTGACACTTCCCAAGATTGGCAAGCAATGTACCAGGCTGTAGCTCAAGTCTTAAAAACCTGAGGTCATATGATGACACGCTAGATACAGGATCCAGAGTTATCAAAAAGCCAACAAGCTTTGTTAGAACGTCCATATATATTGGATGTGGGTGTTACCCCTGAGGAAACTTCCCTTACAACTGATTGGCTGACCACATCAGATCACATCATGGGAGTGATTACATTATATTGCAAAATGGAAGGTAACTACATCTTTATATAATTGGAGAATTATATCATTACATAACTGCCAAACCACTGAGAATGGACTAGCCAAGTTGACACATAATCTTAACCATCAGTCAGGGTTTATTAGGGAAGTAACAAGTTACAGTTCAGGATTAGAAACAACTCAGGATGCAATACTTCCATCAGGACAGCCTCTTCTCAGTCATGCCTGCAGGTAGATCTCTCTCTGGCCCTTGGCCTTTTGAGCCTCTTGGGCAGGCCCAGTCTCTGTCCTCTTGGGACAAATGTTAGAAAGCTCTTTAGTTCTGCCAGTAAGTGTTTGGAGGCACCCCACTCAGCTAGCAAGCCTTGGCCCAAAGGTGGTCAAATCTTGCTCTGGGTGGTGAGTCTAGCTCCACCAATTGCCTGGAGGTACCCCACTCCACTAGTTCTCTATATATTTTGAATATTAAGCCCTTATCAGATGTATAATTTCTAACTATTTTCTTCCATACTGTAGGTTGTCATTTTACTTTCTTGATAATGCAAGTTATACATTGATGCACAAATGTTTTTAATCTTGATGAAGCCTAATTTATCCATTTGTTATTCTTGCTTGTGTTTTTGGTGTTGTAGCTAAAAATCCATTGCTGGTAAATATCCTTTCTAATTGTCCATAAAATATTGTTTTACAGAGAAATGGCTACCACCTACCCTGCACAGGATCGGGTAGTTGCTTTGGTGGACATGGACTGTTTCTTTGTTCAAGTGGAGCAACGGCAAAATCCTCATTTGAGGAATAAACCTTGTGCGGTTGTACAGTACAAATCGTGGAAGGGTGGTGGGTATGTATCACTGTTGTTGTTAAAACCATCAGTTACTATTTTAATCTGTAGGAATACATGGTAGGTCTTATTTTTGAGGCCTTTGTGAATGAATGATGGCATCTGTGGCCAAAAAGTTTATACTGTTATGAAAACTATATATGTTTATAGCCTATTTATGTTAAGTATCTAATTGTTTTTGCTTGTCATCGTGTAATCGTATTTTTCTGTTCCTCGTTTTTTTTAACCTTAGAATAATTGCAGTGAGTTATGAAGCTCGTGCTTTCGGGGTCACTAGAAACATGTGGGCAGATGATGCTAAGAAGTTATGCCCAGATCTTCTTCTGGCACAAGTTCGTGAGTCCCGTGGGAAAGCTAACCTCACCAAGTAAGAAGAAAAGTTGAAAATAATATTCCATGAGGCTAGGAACTGGTGTTTTAAGTCTCTTTTGTGTAAACTATGTCTAAAAAAGTTCCCTTGTTAGACCTTCTTGTCTCTTTGAAGAGAAAACAGATTTTGATACTACATTTCAGGAACATTTCAGACCCCTTATAAGCTATTACAATTGCTACCCTCGGTATTCTTTTACTTCTCTATTACTTAAAAGTTGGTTATAATTAAAACCTGTTATCTCAATGATTAGGAGACACTGAGCTTCTGGTAAGGGTGATGGTTAAACCACATGATGAGCATAACTAATGTCATTGAAATGTACATGTAAAGATTGTTGAAATGTCAAATGTTACATTACATACATATTTACCACAAAAGAAAAACCAAAAAATCTGAATACCTATTCCCATGGTCTCAAGCCAAAAGTTTCAAATGTTTAAAATAAGTATTTAAATTGACTTTGAAACTATATGTTTTTCCAGGGAAAGCCGGATCAAACTGACATGAAAGTACCAGATCTGGAATTATTTACCAGAATCGAACAGTCTCAAAGATTACTTTCTTTGTTTGAACCTAGCTTTCTTTCCCAAAATTTTAAAAGTTTAGCCTTGGAACAGGAGATCTTTATAGGCATAGCTAAGTCATAGGTAGGTACAAGGCCCAGACATAATAATAATCCTAATAGCTGGTATGTATTGAGCATATATTGTTGTTATATATTATATTGTGTTGTGTTGAGAGCTCTGGTGGTGTAGTACCTAAGGCATTTGACTGCTAACCAGAAGGTTGGCTGTTCAAACCCACCACCCACTCCTCGGAAGGAGGGTTGGGCAATCTACTTCTGTAGAGATCCCACCTTGGAAACAAGGAAGGGTCACTATGAGCAGTGTGTTAAGCTCTTTATAGTCAATATCTCTTTTAAATCTCACATTGTTTATAAGGTAGGTAAGTACTAGTATTATCCAATTATCCATTGCCATCAATAATTCTAACTCATTAGCGACCCTATAGGACAGAAAAGAACTTCCCCATAGGGTTTCCAAGGCTATCATTTTATGGAAGCAGACTGCCACATCTTTCTCTTGTGGAATGGCTGGTAGACTCAAACTGGTGACCTTTGAGTTAGCAGCTAAGCACTTAGCCACTATGCCACCAGGGCTCCTTTAAAACCAAAAATGAAACCCACCACCATCGAGTCTATTCCAAAGTATAGTGACCATATAGGACAGAGTAGAACTGCCCCACACAGAGTTTGAAGGCTGCAAATCTTTACGGAAGCAGACTGCCTTATCGTTCTTCTGCAGAACAGCTGGTGGGTTCAAACTACCAACCTTTGAGTTAGCTGCCATTTGTTTGAACCACTACATCATCAGAGCTCATTAGGGCTCCTTTAAGTACTAGTAGTATTCCTTTGGGAGCTCTGGTAGCATAGTGCCTAAGGCACTTGACTGCTAACCAGAAGGCTGGCAGTTCAAATCCACCAGCCACTCCTCGGAAGGAAGATGGGGCCATCTAGGTCCGTAGTGATACCGCCTCGGAAACTCAAGGAGGGGTTGCTATGAGTCGGGTCCGACTCGACGGCACATAAC